GAACAACAAGATTCTGAAAATCCAGTTTATTTTCATGTTGTGGACAGATCCAGTCAACTTGATCAGTTTTCTGCATGTGTAATAATTTATCAAAATAACTTTTCCCACAAGGCTCTTCCATCAACTCTGAAAATCCTGATCTGACAACATAAACCCAAATAAAGCTCTTGAAAAATCATTTCTTAAAATTTGGAAATGTGGCAAGTCTTCCTTGTAACACTGACTGCACCACAAATGAGGAAAGAGCAATTTATAAAAGGTGACTAGTACAGCAGTTGAGTTCAGGAGATTAACTTTGCTCCAGTTTTAGCCAACATGCTACATTCTCTTTGTTTTCTCCCCATTGTCGGGTGCAGGGTGAGGGGCGCACAAAGTGGACTTGAAGATTTCCATTGTACGAAAAAGATAGGACTCTGCAAGCAAAACAGTTAAGCTGCCTTTTTTTTTTTCTTAAGACCTGGACATTTTAAGACAGAAGCTTTGCAAAACATTACACAATTTTTATTATTAAATGAGAAAATCTCATTTGTTACATCGTCACATTGCTAGTCAGAGAAATGCTGCAGTGATGAAGAAAGTCAATGTTGGATCAACCAAAGTCCTCATTTCTACAACATTCATTTACAAAGAAATAATGTTCAACACAGTTCAACACAACATTCTTGGTTCTCTTCATACTGAAGTCCCCCCAAAAATCATCTTCTACTGGGGTATTTTACTACATAAATTATAGTTCTTCATTTTTACAATTCACCCCAAACTGTATGAGAGATGTGTCACACTAAAATTTCTAAAGCTGTTAGGAAATCCTTCACACATCGTCGTCATCCGATGTGTCGCTGCTACTAGTCTCTGTGTCATCGTTTTCAATCGTGGGTTTGAAAGTGCTGTTTTTCCAGGGTCCAAACTTGAAGTCACAGATGAGGCCATTTTTCAAGAAACCATTTTTTCTCAGACCATTCTTCTGTAACTAGAACATAAGAAGAAAATAAAATGAACAAATGGTCCCTTTTAAGAGTTATTTACCCACTAAGAATCTAGTAAGGTTAGAATAATTGTAACCATGAATACAATAAGGTTAATAAATCTGTATCCCATCCTAGACATTCCACAGTAATGTCTTATTTACAAAAAGAAACATACAACTGGCCCATAGAAATAAGTCAATTATTGGGAAACAATTTCTGCATCTAGACAGGCTAAATGTGAATTTTAACTCCATTATACACACTAAGGTATTAAGTAAACCTTTCTAAATTTCCTGAACACTGTAATAAATATCAAGTGTGATCCATCATATATATCCACAACCCCCCGATGAGCATGAGAACCAGGGCTTAGGGCGGGCAGGCATGGCGGGACAGGTGGTAGCACCAACTGTGGGTTGGATTTAGAGTTCGTTGTGCCAAGCCAGGCTGTAGCATCCACTGGTGTGTACAAGAGCCAAATGAGATACAGAACAGATCAGACCAGTCTGCTGCAACTACTGACATGGGCAGACACTGGAGACAGGCCTGAGGGTCACTCTAACAGTTCTCGTACACATGCACGGCTGGCATGCGTGATGAACTGAGCCAGAACCCACACTGGCTGGCACACAAAGGAGTCAGGTTAGGGTCACCCCAAATAGGATCACTGGATTCAGAAATCCAACCACGATGAAAAACACAGGATCATGAAGTGCATGTCAGAATTGGGTTTCCACAGTTGCTTTGCAGTGGATGACATACCCAGATGCTCATGAACGACATGACAACCAGTTTATTGAGGCCTGCAGAGGATATCTAGTACCATGGAGAGCAGAACAAATTGGACAGTTCTCCTGGACAAGTACCTGGGCAAATCGAGACTCTAAGATGGACTATGTCAGCTAATGGGCCTGGAAGGATTTCCTTAACCTTGGAGCAACAAAATCAACAGCATCTCAGAACTATCAAAACCTTATGAGCAGCATCCTCAGAGCATGTTCCACATCAGTGACCCCAAGATAACATCGGGCAGCCACCCCTCATCCTGGGCCCTAATACAGCTGGGATGCTGGGAGCGGCCCTCTCACCTTCTCCCTCCACTTTCCCCAGATACCGGAAGAAAAAACGAAATTGGAGGAACTGGATTCATCCAAACCCCTCCTTTCGCGGCTCTCGCCACCCTAATTGGTGGTCCACATGAGTATGCATTCCTCTAAACTATGTAAACAACATTAAGAATAACCAGTACATTTCTAGTTATCTTACCTGTTCACTAATAACTTGGAATTCTCTCATCTCATCCTCAGTTAAGGGAGCGCATGTTTCATCATTTTCACTGTCTTCCTGCCAACCCATCTCTTTTAACAATCTGAAAAGGATGCATGAAATAAAGTTAATTTGAGACACCTCAAAAGAAATTTCACACACACTGTGTGCAAGAAATTTGATACATGATTTTCCGTTTTGAATCTGTAAATCAAAAGGTTAAAAGTCTACTATATTACCTTACTGTTTAATCTGAAGTCAAGGCTCTCTGGAAAGGAAACTAAGCAATGACAAAGACAGGAAGAGAACCTTCTAAATTGTTGTACAAACGCTGCTGTCTATGCCCCTCCCATTTTCTTCTCCAATTCAACCACAATCCACCATATTCTTGGCTATTTATTAGGTTTTCTACATTGAGAAGAAAAGGCTGGAATACATTATCCTATGTATAAATGTATGATTTGCTTTCTTATGGGCATGAAAAGCATCATCCACAGTGTCATTTGAAAGAGGCATTCAGTAACAAAAATGACTTAACATCTATTAAAGCACAATCTAAATAATGACAAATATGGTTATACCATAATTAATTTCAATTTTGAAAACTAGTAAATACTGCTGTCTCAGGCAAACAGAGCTAAGAAAAGTTTTCCAGAGAACTAAGAGCAGCCAGGAGCTTCTTCTGGATCTCCCACGCAGGTGCAGGGTCCCAAGGCTTTGGGCCGTCCTCGACTGCTTTCCCAGGTCACAAGCAGGGAGCTGGATGGGAAGCAGGGCTGCCAGGACTAGAACTAGCACCCATATGGGATCCTGGCACGTTCAAGGCGAGGACTTTAACCACTACACTATCGCACTGGGTCTGAGAACTAACCTATGAATGATTATAGCAAACAATATGACATGTGACACCTCTCTTCGAGTATCTGCTTCCTAAGCAACTTACAGAATACAGGTCTGGCAAACTTTAACAAGCTGCACTACTGAAGTGCTTTTTGCTTCTACTTAGAACTAGTCATTTCCTTACCTTTAGCCTGCCATATATTAGCTACAAACTTTCCGCTATGAGACCAAAAAAAAAAAAAAAAGAATTGACATGATACCCATATTGCAGATAAATAAGTAAGATCACATAAATAAAATAATTTTCAAGGCTATTTCAAGGCAAATTTACTAAACATGCTGCCTCCCAACCAAAATATCCAAATCATCATTAGGTATTATTTCTGCTCTTCTTTTCAGTCACTTTTTGAATGGAATGTTACTCCCACCATTTAATATTATTAAATCAGAATCTACAGATCTAGAATATTAAAACAACTTAACTGCTTCATTTAGATCTTTACTTTTACTCATTTTTAAACCTGAATCTTAACTGAGTAACATAGATGGAAAAAATTACCGTAAATAAATTTAAGAAAACCCTAACAAATCCTCTGATGAAGCCCTCTCCATTCAGAGTACGGAAGTGTTTCTAAAAGTCTAATTTTAAAAAAAGAAAGAAAAAAAATCAGTCACCCCTTCTCTTACAATTACAAGTACTTCGGTAACACTCATGGGCACTTTGCGTCTAAAGCATTTCTTCTGGGGCCTGATTCATGGTAGAGTAGATCAAACCATGATCTGTGACCACAGAATCCCACGAGAGACCTCCATTTGTGATACAGCTTCCCATTAATGCACTTTAGAAAGCAACCTGTCACCCACACGGTGAGGTGGACGGAGTTCCTGGCTGCTGGCTTCAGGCCTGCCCAGCCCTGCCCACCCTGGTCACTGCAGCCAACTGGGGAGGGCGACAGTAGGTGGATCATCTCCGCTCCCCTGCCGCCACCACCACTCTGTAACTCTGTATTTCAAATAAATAAGCTTCAAAAATATACATATTCATATGTATACTTTTTCTGATGTCACAGAGCTTAGATTTCTAATGAAAATCAAAGTAGAAATTAAAATGTCTACGAATTTATCTCAGAAGCTAAAAGAAAGAAGAAAACTGGATGGGAATGTCATTTTGTTCTTAGAATTGTATCTAACCTACTAATATTAACAACTATAAACAGTAAAACAAATTTTTAAAATTATATGTTACTCCACAGTAGAAACAATTCTTTGATGGAAGTCCCAGAGGGTGCAGAAAGAGAAACTGGTTTTACAAATATATTTAATGAAATAATAAGGGAATATTTTTTCTAATCTACAGAAAGAATTGGAAAACAACATCCAGGAAGGGCACAGAACTCCCAACAGGCTTAATCAAAAGAGATCTTCACCAAGACACATAATGATCAGATTCTCTTCAATCGAACATAAGAAAAAGATCCTTAGAAGTGCACGTGAAAAAAAGCAATTGACATATAAAGGAATCCCAATTAAACTCACAGGAGACCTCTCACAGGAAACTCTACAAGCAAGGAGAGAATGGAGAATATGGAGACATATTCCAGATTCTAAAAGAAGAAATTGTCAGCCCAGGATAACATATCCAGCAAAGCTTTCTTTTGTCTTTGAAAATGAAATAAAATTCTAAAGTTAAAAGAATATGCCTCTTCCAAACCTGCCCTACAAATGTTACTTCAAGATGTTCTTGACAGAGAAGAGGAATAACACCAAACAAAACCAAAGGCAAATGTGAAGAACATCCCAGTAAAATGACAACAGAAGACTAAACCAATGAACAACCCATTGCTAAAATGACAAGACCAAAGTACCACCCATACATATTAACCCTGAATGTAAATGGCTTAACCTCAATCAAATGTCACAGATTAGTAATCGGATTAAAAAGCAAAACCCATCTCTTTGTTGCCTTCAGGAGACATATTTCACCACCAAAAATCACCAGAAACTATATCTTACAGATTTTGATTTTTTTGTTTTTGTAAAGCAGTTTCTTGTGATTAAATTCTTCAATGACTCATAGATCATACAGCAGCAGCATTTTCTTTAAGAAGGGTCTTCATTTTCTTTTTCATTTCTTCAGTGATACATTAGTCATTCAGTACCATATTATTTAACATTATGTTGTTAATTTCGTTTTTCTTCCTGTTGTTGATTTTGTTTTGTGTCTTTTCATTTAAGGGGATGTATAGTAGCTGTGTAATGGAGACTGTCATATCTAGTAACATGTCATTTAACTTCATGGCATTGTAAATTTCTTTTTCTTCCTACTGTTGATTTTGTATTGTGACTTTTCATTTAAGGGGATATACACCAACTGTTAAATGGAGACTAGCATATCCAGATGTGAGGATGTAGTGTGGTATGCATTTCTGTTTCCAGACAAAGATGGACTTACAATGAAACTGTTTACTGTATCTTGACAATAGGATTCTGGCCTCTGCCACTGTCCATGCCTGCAATGATGGATATATGATTGTGTATGAAGAACTATACTATAGTAATGATATAGAGGAACTAGGTGAGGGATGGGGGAGGGGATAATGGAAATCCCAGGATCTATGGAACTGTATCATGAAATAATAATAATAAATAAATAAATTTAAAAGATTAAAAAATGTTTTCAGACTGTATTGGGAACGCACAGCATGATGGTTCTGTAGCTAAAAGCCTTGGTATCCACATGCTGGATTCCAACATGGGTACCGGTTTGCATCTCAACTGCCCCACTTCCCATCCAGCTCTGTGCTTGTGGCCTTGTAAAACAGTGGAGGACAGCCCAAAGCTTTGGGACCGTATACCCACATGGAAGACACGAAGAAAGCTCCTAGCTTCAGATCAGCTTAGCTCTGGCCATTTTGGCCACCCGGGGAGTGAACCAATGGATGGGAGACCTTTCTCCCTGGAAATATCCCTTTCGAACAAATAAGTAAATCATAAAAGCAAAACAAAACAAAATAACAAAAAAACTGTAGCAAGAGACCATCACTAATGTCTCAGCAGGTGAAGTCAACATCAGTGAAGCCAGCACTCAGTATGATTGCCACAATCATGCCCTCTAGCACCACTTTCACGGCAGCTCGGTGCTCATGTGCCTGTGAGAGCAGTGGAAGATGATCCAGCCCTTGGGCCCCTGCACCCATGTGGGACATCTAGAAGTTACTGCTTTTAGTCTGGCACTGTTTTAGTCCTGGAAAATAGTCATCTGAAGAGTGAGCCAAGGTATGGAAAAATCATCTCCCTCTCTAGTTCATCCAAGTAAACAAAATATTGTTGGGGGGGGGGGCGCCGCAATATTATGATGAAATCAGAATTTGCTCATGAAAAACTACAATAAAAATAAACACTGTGGGTAACCACTTGGGGGATACCTGAATTTGGACTTGGGTCTTATAGCTTATTCCTTCAATAAATTATATAATGGGGAGGTAGGAGGTAGAGGGACAATAAACAAACTTCATCAAAACTGAAATGTGGGTGGCAGCTTTGAGCTGCTGCATGGAATGGCCACGTGCTGGGCAGAACCAGGCTGGACTGCAACACCCATTGGTTCCAGTGGAAGTCTGGAGTGAAAACAGAACCAACCCAACAATTGCAACCACCAGCTGATCAGGGTGATGGACTGAGCCGGGCCTATAGTTGCTAGCACATACAAGAATCTGGTTTGAGCACACCTCAGACAAAGTTTCTTTGGAGAGCTCCCCAATCAAAATGCTGGACTCAGAACCCTAACGAAGGAAAGAGAGAAGACAGAACAGGTCAACCAACCATCTCAGCTATGATGGACTATGTCAATCAGTGGATTATTCAAGGACCTCATAGTGCTTGGAGTAGCAAGACTGGCAGCGATTCATAACTGTTGAAATATCAAAACTACTTAAGCAAGAACCTCAGAGCATGCCCTACATCTGTGACCTGGGGAGGGTGGGAAATTGGGTGGGCCTTCTCCCTTAATACCCCCTTTGAACATGAAGGAAAAAATATGGAAAAAATAAGTCTTACCCACTTTCCTGTAGCCCTTGAACCTTTTTACCCTAATTAACTATGTAAAGATTGTCCAAAAAATAAATTAATTAAAAAAACAAAACAAAACAAACAAAAAAAGATGTAATGTCTTTAAGGACTTCAGTTCTACACCTATCTCCATTCAGTAGCCATTAATTTATTTCACAGCTTTTAGATTATTTCTCTAGCTATTTTAAATATATATATAACATAATGCAGGTTATCTATGTTTTTTGCTAAGGACTGATACATGAAATTATACAACAAGGGCCCAGCGTAGTAGCTCAGTGGCAATAGTCCTCGCCTTGAACACACCAGGATCCCATATGGGCACAGGTTCTAATCACAGCAGCCGATTCCCATCCAGCTCCCTGCTTGGCCTGGGAAAGCAGTCAAGGATGGCCCAAAGCCTTGGAATCCTGCACCCTTGTGGGAGACCGAGAAGAAGCTCCTGGCTCCTGCCTTCGGATTTGCTAAGTTCCAGTCATTGCAGCCGTTTTGGGAGTGAACCATCGGACCGATCGTTCTCTCTGTCTCGCCTCTCTGTATATCTGCTTTTCCAATAAAAATAAATAAATCTTTTAATTAAATAAAAGAAAAGGGAAAAACCTTCTATCCACTGGTTTATTCCCCAAGTAACCCCAATGGCCATGAAGCCAATCCCAATCCTCTCTGTATATCTGGTTTTCCAATAAAAATAAATCAATCTTCAAAAAAATTATACAACAAGCAAGAGATAATTTTTACTTGTGGAATTGACTGATGTGTCTTAGACAAATAATTGTATATTATGCAGAAAAACAGATAAATAAAAACACCCAGTTTTGATAGCTTAAAAATCCCCATTAACTTTTTCTTCATAATTAAAATACATTCAACTTGATTCTCTATGGCCTTAAGATTTTTAATGATTTTTACTTTCTTAAAAGTTGCTTCCCAGAATTAGCATTTTGCTGAGTTTTAAAGTGCATCTGGGCCAAATAATCCTATTATATTTGAATTACAGTGATGTTCTACAAACATCAGATAGTAAACAATCAATAGTCTTATGATGAGAACTCCCCAGTCAGTCCTTATCCTACACTTCCAAACTAAATGTAACTGTGGAATTAGTGCACTAACTTTGGTGAAAAGTTTGCTATAGCCCCAAACTACATTTTTAGTTATCATGTGTGTTAGTTACAGCCAATAAACTCTTAATTAAGTAGAAAGAAAAAAAAAAATCACTGCTCCCTGGAGGTGAGATTCATAATATTACAAGGTCAATCTGTGAGTCTATTCACAAATAAATCACAAGAGCTCCATATCGAAATCCTGAATATTTAACATGCCAGAGAAAATGTAAAACTAAATACTCACCTGTGTTCTGCTTCAAGTGAGCTTGAAAGAACATCAGTTTGTGGAAATGTTGAAGATCGAATGATCTGTTGGGAAATAACTGAAGCATTTCCATTTTCTTGTGGAATTTCATTTTCATCAAAGTTGCGATTTATATCCCTTTCTTGGTGAGTACTATTGCTGTTATGCAAATTGAATGAGTCTTCATCCTGAGTTTTTGGGAATTGAAACAAAGGTTCTCAGAAATACAGTTATTAAAAACTAACAGATCTTGGGTAGATTTCCAGTGAGAACACACACACACACACAAAAATGTAACACATTTCTTCACTAAATTTAGGAGTTAGTTTCATTTGAGAATCGAAAACTAAGCTGAAAGTGTCCAAATCTAGTCAACACACATGTCTTCTTATAGAGTTAGACTGCCCGTAAAACAGCCAGGTTCAGCAAAATCATGCTTCAACGCTATAAACTGCTAAATACTAAAATTAAAATAGACATGAGACAGCTGAATAGTAATCTATAGCCATTTTAAGGTGTATAGAAACCAGTTATATATAAACTAATAATTGAAATGTCAATGTAGAAGTCACAGGATGTGGTTCAGAACTTGCATTCTTTTTATTTTTTTCTCTTTTACATATTGGTTACTCACTACAATGTCAACTAATTCCATAACATTATAAAATGTTACTGATGTAATGTTGGAGCTTTTAATTGATCGGGATGATACTCTGCTGGCTCTACCTTCAGACCAGAGATGGTCTCCCCAAGAAACTGTTGAACTTATCTGGACAATAAGACGCTGGACTTTATACTTGGTAGATGCTTGCAATGAAAGAATCTCAACTGAATTTGAACTGTGGTAATGCAACAAGGTGGAGGAATCCACTAAGGGGTGAGGGGGGCTTTGGAGGATAGGTGGGAGAAATCCCAGGGCCTATAAAACTGTGTCGCGTTAAGCAATGTAATCAATAAAAACAAACAAATCTAGTCAACAAAACAAAACAAAACCAAAGATATGATTGTAACTGATTCCGAGATTGATTTTTGCAAAGTATCTATAGAAAGAAAAACCTACTTCAGAAAGCACATCTTTATTTATTTGCACGGATGTCCAGCTGACCTTCAGGATCCTAAATATGTGCCTGAATATTCTAATTGTATCTTAACAGAAAACCAAGTAAGAAAAACTCCATTACCTTCTCTGAGCCAGCATGGCTTTCATCTTCATGCTCCTCCTCAACTCGATCCCTTTTCAATGCTTTCAAAAATTCACTCTTCTTATCAGTGCGCATTCGTGTCAATTTGGTCAGGCGAGGCTGTTGATTCAGTTTATCAACAGGTGATGAGGAGTTTGAGCGATTACACTAATATAAATAAGAAAGAAATCAGAAATACTGACATGCAGGCAGGGAACCTGTCTCAACATGAAGCACTCAACTCAAATAGCTTTCTCGATTCACAATGCAAAACTGATTTAAGGACTATTTTATATACCTTTTTCTTTTTAGTTTTTTTTTCCTTCTCCAACCGAATTAATAATTTCCTCACCTTAGAAGCAAAGGAACCCTAGAAATACTCATGGCTAAGACTCAAATTTAGGAGTTTACCTAATATGTCACAGATTTGTCTGAATGTTCCTACAACAATATTTTCTGAATTTCAAGAAAAATGGGATAAGATAATGCCCACTTCTTGTGAACTTCTTGAAGTACCCTTTCACAAAGCAATAGCAATTCTCCCAACTGTGTTCCAAGTTCTGGAGTTCAAACAGTTCCAGACACACAGATTCTGGAGTTCGGACACACACACTTCCATGAGGGATTTCTCATGCTAGATTTCAGAAGAAAAAAATTCTTAAGTGGAAAGATAAAGGAAAAAGAAACCTGATATTAATTGGATTTTTCTTGGTTAAGTCTCTTTGATATTTTTCAGTGACAGTGGGAGAACAAATAAAATTGAAAAACTGTTATCGAATTATTAGCTATAAAAGCAACTATAATTATGCTGAATAATAATTGGTCTTAACACCTAAGTATTCTAACCCAAGTACAATAAACCTGTAAAACTGCTCTTTCCCTTATAGCTCAAGAACTCCTTAACTTAGAAATATATTATGTTCCAGAAGTTCCTTGTTCCTGCTTTTGGTGCGGTCAAGCTCTGGCCATCTGGTCACCATTGCAGTCATTTGAAGAATAAAGCAGCACATGAAAGAACTCTTTCAGGGCACAGCGCAGTAGCCTAGTGGCTAAAGTCCTCACTTTGAGCGTGCCGGGATCCCATGGGGCATTGGTTCATGTCCCAGCAGCCCCAATTCCCATCCAGCTCCCTGCTTGGCCTGGGAAAGCAGTCAAGGATGGCCCAAGTCCTTGAAACCCTGCAACCCTTGTGGGAGACCGAGAAGAAGCTCCTTGCTTCGGATTGGCTCAGCTCCAGTCATTGCAGCCGTTTTGGGAGTAAGCCATTGGGCAGATCTTTCTCTCTGTCTCGCCTCTCTGTATATCTGCTTTTCCAATAAAAATAAATAAATCTTTTAATTAAAAAAAAAAAAAGAAGAAGAGGGAAAAACCTTCTATCCACTGGTTTATTCCCCAAGTAACCCCAATGCCATTAAGCCAATCCCAAGCCAGGAGCTAGGAGCTTCTTCTGGTTCCCTCATGCAAGTGCAAGGTCCCATGACTTTGGGCTGTCCTCTACTAGTTTCCCAGGCCACAATCAGAGAGCTGGCTAGCAAGATAAGCAGCTGGTACACGAATCAGCACCCATATGGGATCCCAGTGCTTGGAAGGGTAAGTATTCATCATTGACCCATCATGACAGACCTAAGCTTGTCTTGTCTTCACTGTTGCAAATAAGGTATCACATTCTTTAGGGATAATTTTCAATACCATACCTCTTTCACTGAATTTGCTGATGAACTAAAATTCTTGGCAGTTGATTTAAAAGCATTGAAGTTGCCAACACCATATGAAGAGTCATGAGGGAAAGAAGTTCCAACTTTATTCTCTTTAGTTTGGCTTTTCCATTGTGTAGGCTAAAGAAACAGAAGCATTAATGACTATCAAAACCATATTACAGAATAAAATAAACTAAAAATATGATTACATTCTCCCCTACCCCCAAAACAAAAACCAAACCAAAAACTGTAATATTCAGACACAAATACCTAGGCAGGGGCAGATGCCTGGTCTAACCACTAAGACATCACTTGGTAATGCCCACATCTCACATCAGACTTCCCAGATTAGCATCCTGAGCGGTCTCCTCACACTTCAGCCTCCTGCTGATGCACAGCCTGGGAGTAGCAGATGACTCAAGTGACTGAGATCCTTCTCACCTGGGAGACTGGGTTCCAGCTGTTTGGGCAGGCAACCAGTATGTCTCTAACAATTTTTTTCTTATTGCTTTCTTTTTAAATTTTCATTTCAAAGATGGGGAAGAGAAGAGATAAAAGGTATTTCTTCCCTTCACTATTTCCCACCCCAGACACCTAACAGCCATAGAGCACAGCAGGAGCCAGGAGCACCATCCTGGTGGCCCATGGATAACATGGATCACAGGTAATTTCAAGTAGCTAGGCCACCCTCTGCTGCTTTCCCAGGCACAGAAGGAAGCTGAATCGAAAGCAGTACTCTGTTACGACAAACCAGTGCCAAGCAGCAGCTTTAAACCACAGGAAATTTAATTTTGGCCCCTAAATTTATTTGTTTTAAATGCAAAGGAAAAAAAAATGTCTAAGTCACTGTTCCTCAAAGCTTACTAAAACTAGTTAGGTTTCTTTTCCCTACTTATATTACCCCTCCAAAAAAAGTTTAAAAAGTTTTAAAATAAAACCTAAAACTGAGCAACAAGAACATTATATATTAAGTAACTGTAACACAAGTACACTGGGAAAACAAAAATCAATTATAAATTTCATTTACTACTAAAACAAAAACATAGATAGCATGAAAAGATAAAAAACAGCATATGATTCAAATCTTTGCATCTAGAAGTCAACATTTTACAAATTCTCTCACAGTTCAATGTAAAATTTCTATGCTTTTTCCAAAGAGTTAATAAACTGATATCAATTCAAGACTTGTACCTATAACCATTTAGAACTTACTTTTGTTGGTGGAGCAGCAGGTTTAGGGACTAAGCCTTTATAAACACTTGGACCAGTTCCATTCTTAACTGGCTGTGACTGAAGACTTCCTGCTGCTGGGAATCCAGAAAGCTGTAAATCCTTTGAATTACCTTTCTTAATGACCAACATCCTTGGAGCTCTAGATTTAGGATTCGGAGGATATTCTGCATAAATAAAGTATCAGCAGGAGTTAAGCCATCCCAAATTTTAGCATAAGGTAAATTAATTTAAAAAATATACACCCCAAGCCTTGATTACATCCAAACATTAACAGCTATGCCTTGGAATACAAAATATACAACTGCTTTTTACAAAATGTAGATCTCATATAATCACAATTACCAAGATTTAAACATGGACAGTGGCACAGAATGATGACAAAGCCCTAATAACATTATAATGTTTTTCAGTAGCATAAAAAACTCTGATGCAAATGACTCATAACACTTACAAAATACAATTCTTGTTCTCCTTCCTCAACTTTTAAAGAACTAAATTTCCCGACTTCTTCTCTTCTTACTTATGAAATCACTGCTGTGACTAACGCAAAAATCACAATCCCAAGTCACTGAAATATTTACTGGTCATCTAACAACATCTAGGACATTGTGTGAGGTACAAGCCAACCAACTCCACCCTGGTTTGGTACTAGGAACAATTGCTACACACAGACTTTCAAACCTACTATAGCTGCTAAAAGTACGAAACACCTCTCTCAGTTTAATCATTGTGTATGTATAACCAAGTAGTAAACTTTGCAGTCATTACTTCTGGTGAATAGATAATGACAGCATGAAGAATAAAATGTAAGAATCAATCTTAGCCTGGAAAACAGAATCTACTTGAACAAAACAGGAATCCATATATAAGATGGTGAGATTAGTTTTGAGAAATGTAAGTTATTAAGAGCTTTTGCAAGTTCTTCAGAAGTATACAGATGCTGAGGGCAGTGTAGCTCTATCAGAATAGCAATATTAAATAAATTCAAACATGTCTGAAATGAAGTTCAATTGAATAAAACTGAGTAGGCACTTAGTTCTCTTCTCCCTTCAAAAAGTTACATTAAAATTACTAAAATGGAAGAAGGAAACCAAATGGAGACATAAGCCCATCCGCAAGAGAAGGGTCTCCACATACACTTTTACTGGGCAAAAGGAAAGCAAGCTTAAGAGTATGCACAAAGCACCAAGGACTATCAGTACGGGCACCAAGGACTGCATCCCAACTGCCAGAGAGACCACGGGGAACTGGAATGCCTTCGGAGCCCGAGAACTCAGAGGGCATCCCCCATGCTTTGGATCTACTACATGGGATGAAAGAAGCCCGAAATCTTCCTCGTGGGATCCAAGGTCGTAGGAACAACAGCCAGGAACCAAGAGCGGTCCTCGGAATCAAAAGAACAGTAAACTTCCTTCGGGACTAGGGAGAGAAGCTTTCTCTGGTCCTTACTTAGTTCCAACTTTGGGTCTCCACCCTCTCTGCAATGACTATCAGGGTCACTCCAGAGCCCCCTCCTCCAAACACACACACACACACACACACACACACACAAAAATTAGAATAGATAAACAGAGAACAACAAGGAAAGCTTGGTCAACATGGACTCACATACCTAGGTAGGACACAGAGCAAGTACTCCTCACCAAGGTACCGAAGATTTCTCTGCACACCCCTCCTATAACTGTTATGCACCTCAATTGTTGAAATGTCAATGGAGTAGTCACAGGATGTGGTTAAGAACTTGCATTATTTTCAATATATTGTTTACTCAATACTATGTCAATTAGTACTATAACATTGTATATTGTTGCTGATGTTATGTTGGGGCTTTTGATTGATTGGGATTTTACTCTGTTGGCTCTGCCTTCAGAGAAGGTCTCCTCAAGAAGCTGTTGAACTTATCTGGATGATAAGATGTTGGACTCTATGCTTGGTATATGCTTACAATGAAGGAATCTCAACTGAACTTGAACTGTGGTTATGCAACAAGGTGGAGGAACCCACCATGGGGGGAGGGTTATGGGAGGGGTGGGAGGAATCCCAGTACCTATGGAACTGTGTCACATAATACAATGTTATTAATTAAAAAAAAAAAAAAAGAGTATGCACAAAGCCTAACGCCCAACGAGAGAATCAAAGCTCATTTCAAGATTCTTGGTGAGGCTGGGATTTGAGATTACTTTAGGCAAAAAACAGAAATTCACCAAAAATGATTTCTTCTAAGGAAATATGTGCTTTAGGACCCAGCATTGTGGTATAGCAGCTAAGTACGTAGCCCCAGTGTTTGGGCCCCTGCCAGCCATGTGGAACACGTGGAAGAAGTTCTTGACTCCTGGCTTCAACCTGGTCCAGCTATCCGGGGAGTGAATCAGCAGGCAGGAGGTATGGCTGTTATTCCCTAGTTTTTTTAAAATACATACATACATTTGTTTAAAGAAGAAAAATAACTTGCTGTGGGCAGTAGAAGCAAAGTAATCCTACATGGAAGATTTAAAGATCCAGTTCTATCTTTCATACCTATACCATCAATGGCCAAAATAAAAGTAAGGAGGTACTGAGCCCAGCGGTTAGTAACGATGCCTGTATAGGGTACTGAGTCAGGGCTCCACATCCTCACTCCAGCTCTCTGCTAATGCAATCATGGGAGGCAGCAGTGAGGGCTCAATTAATGGAATTCCTGCTACCACAAAGGAGCCCTGCAGTGTGTTCTGGTTCCCACTTCAGAGCAGCTCAGCCACTTTTTTAGTGAACAGTTTTAACAACCTGTCAGTTTCAGTATTTCAAATTAAAACGGGGGGGGGGGGGGGGAATTGATGAAGATGAGCAAGCAGGTGTGTTTTTAAGACTCAATATAATTTCTAACTACATAAAATGTTACCTTTCCTAAAAGGATAGTCCCAGGAGCAAGAAGCATGCTGGATGTTTGCTCTATGAGATCTTTTTTTATCTATGTTTTTGTAAAAAAGATTTATTTTACTTTTATTACAAAGTCAGATATACAGAGAGGAGAGATAGAAAGGAAGATCTTCCATCCGATGAATCACTCCCCCCCAAGTGGCTGCAATGGCCAGTACTGTGCCAATCCGAAGCTGGGAACCAGGAGCTTCTTCCGGGTCTCCCGTGCTGGTGCAGGGTCCCAAAGCTTTGGGCCGTCCTCGACTGCTTTCCCGGGCCACAGGCAGAGAACTGGATGGGAAGCGGGGCTGCCGGGATTAGAACCAGTGCCCACATGGGATCCTGGGCGTGCAAGGCGAGGACCTTAACCACTGCGCCATCGCGCTGGGTCCACTAATTGTATAATCTTGTACAAGTTATTTAACCCCTCATTTATAAAATGGGTAGCAGCTATTTAATCTGTAACTGTGAAATATTTTATATTTAAGTTGTTCCTAGAAAACTATACAAAAACTGATATACTACCTCCAATAAATTTGTTTCCAATTGTACTTAAAATGAAAGGTGCCCCCATTTTTTAAAATATTAGTTCAAGAGGGAAGCCAGGGACAGAAAAAGGGAGTGACAGAGTAGTTGGAAGGGGGGAAAGAGGAGAAGGAAAGCGTGCCTGATACAGCTTAATCCTGCTACTTCATTTCCAAATGCCAGCAAGGACAGAAGCTGAGACTGTAATTGAGCACAAAAATCCAAGTTTCCATCTGAGTGACAGGATCAAATTACTTGAGTCAACTGCCCCCTCGCCCAGACTGTGCATAAGCAGGAATCTGCAATCAGGAAGAGGAGCTAAGAAACATACACAATTTCCGTTGTGGATAGGCCCTAACTAGTTCCTTCACTGTCAGGCTAATAATGTCCAACTCAGAGGTGTTCTTGTAAAATGATTCATGGTTTATCCGTAAGAGTAAGGGAAAGGAGAAAAACAGAAATATAATGAAGATGTTCAACCAATCATGTCATAAGTAATTATATGGCCTAAAGTATACAAGCATACCAATTTAACAAAGTGTTCATCATTATCTACACACAACAGAATCCAGATGACACAAACTTTAGCCTGGATAGCTTATATCTGCATTAACTACAAAGTAACAGATTATCTCCACAATTCTTAAATTATCTCCACAAATTTTCCATTTCAGTTCTTAAATACTACTGTCTACATAGTCAACAAGCAAAGCATATAAAGTTACAAACTACTTGTTTTTAAAAGTTTATATGACATCCTACTATAAACTAATTTCCTTCTATAAACTGAATGTTTATTACCTCAAGATTAGGTAAGTTTGGCATTCTCATATTCAAATTCAAGTTCAAACACAAAATTTATATTCTGCTACTGAATTTTCATATTATTTTTCCAATATCCTCACAAAAAAACTATTAATCTGACCAATAACTTTAAATACACAGTATTGGATTGCTTTTCACTCTCTTTCCACACCTATAAATGTATCAGCTTGGGGGCCAGTGCTGTGTCGAAGTAGTTAGTAGAGTAAGCCATTGCCTGCAGCCCCAGCATCCCATAAAGAGAGTTTGCTGCTAATGTGCCTACAATAAAGGATGGCACAAGCACTTGGCCTATGCACCAATACAGGACAGCCAGAAAGCTCCCGATTCTTCTTCCTGCTTTTGACTGGCCCACATCTAGCCACTGCAGCAATGTGGGGAGTGAACCAGGGGACAGATCTCATTCTCTGGGTCATTTCCTGTTTCTATAACTCTTTCAAATTAAAAAAAAAAAAAAAGAACAAAACTAAGTAAATCAACAACTATAATTTCCTCTGTATAATGAATTTTGACAACTGGATTACTAAGAATCAGTAATATGATTAAGGATTTCTCATAGCAGATAACTAAATTCTCCAGAAAACAACTTATCTTTATGAATTAGTCACTAATTTACTCTCAATCAGAAGGCAAACAAAACAAAGGAACAAAAACCACCTTACACAAACCTTTAGGCACACAAGCAATATACTAAATACAAAGATTAGGAATCTGTCAAAATAACCTAACACTCTGGTAATTTCCAAGTTAATTAACTAGCAACTGAAAATTTTCACTAGAATATCTTAAACATTAAGTATTATGTTCTGCCAATACATTCTGGTAAGAAGTCAGCAATGCAAACACAATCAACAAGACCTGCTGGCTCACAGAAGTCAGCAGTCACTATTTCTCCAACTGCAAACACTTAAAATACACATCACTCTTTTTTCCCTTACAACATAAATTCAATTACACAAATTACATGAAATTCTTAAAGACACAAATATTACCTTGAATTTGTTTTAGGTGGTAATTAAGAGCATGAAGATAATCATTAATCTTATACATCAAAAAATTGAGATTATACTAATAATCTGCAGGAAAGGTGTTTCCAATAAAGTCAAGTTAAATAGAGCTGAATTTTATGAAACTATTTAAATGCTTAATTACTTTCCCTCAAGGTTCTTTTCTGTCTTTGCTTTTCTTTCCTTCTTCCTTTCTCTCTTTCTTTCAGATTGGGCTATTATGTTTAGATTTTTGCCAATTTTTGATTTACAAAATTATAGTTTTAGAGGAAAATTGCCTTTTTTTTTTAATACATATTTCATTTTCAGTAAATCTTTACTTACCTGGAAGGAAGTATCTTTAGAAAAGTCCTACTGAAGGCTTTCCTAAAACTGTCCCCTCTCCCACAGGAACACAGCTATTATAAATATTGTAGTGAGGAAACAATACTTTGGAGCCCAGGGTGAACGTGACACAGGAATAGTGAAGTGTGACACAAAAAGAGCTCCATTCTATCCCAATGGCCAGGACTAGTGATTTGAACAACCACGCCACAACTATTTTCCTGTTTCGTTTTTTCAATGCAGACACATCTTATTTTATGTAAACACGGTTAAGAGTACATTTTCCTCTTAAATACCTTTTAAATTAATACCCTTAGGACAATCCTGAAACAGTAGAACCAATCTATATATTAACACATTTTAGTCTCATTATTTTCAAAAATGCTTTGCCTTTAATTCATTTCTAAGATTACTAAATCAACCAAAGATCAGTACCAACAGTATCTAAAAGTAGTTTAATATGACAAATGTTCACTGACATTCTTGATTTTAATTACTTTCATTTTAATAAAATTCAAATTATTCCTAATATCTTAGAGATTCTATTGAACACTTTCCAGGTGGCTCTATATTCTTATGCAATCAGCTGTTCCCAGAAAAACTGAATAATAAGGAAACATACCTAAGAGAGGAGCTTGGGAGATTTTTTTGGTTGGGTATGTGTGTGTCTGGGCGTGTAGGCCTGGGGAGAGTGGTAGAAATACTAATTTGCAATACAGAAAAAACAATTCCATTTACATGGTTCTAACAAATGTCTGACCGCCCCCCCACCCTCAAAAAGTCCTTAAGTAAAAAGGGAGAGCAAACAAAAACAAAACAGCAATTCAGAGATTTGCCCCATAAATAAAATACTTAAAAAAAAAAAGACAGGAAGTGGCAAAGTTTAAAATAATGCCTTTATTTGTAGAACTATAATGCTGTCATAAGCCACAACCCTTCTGCTAAGCAATTAGTTGATTCTGAGTAGAAAAATATAGATTAATGTGTAGAAGTTCCAAAGTGATACCAATACCTTTGAATCTGGTATGGCAAATAAATATAATTTTTCACATGTCAAAAGTTTTAAAATTTTGCTATAAAATTATTCATTATTTTAAACTTTTTAAAAGGCTATCTAATTTATACTTTTAATCTTCTATAAAATAACAAATTTAACAGTTGCTTAAAAAAAGAGGGAGGGATGAGGAAGAGGAGAAATTAATACCAAAAGAAAGTTTTGAAAATCAAACTGGAATCTTCAAATATAGAACTAGCTTCAATGGCAAATTCACCCATTTTGTAATAGTTTAAACATTGCCATTTCCTAGATATAAAGCTTAATTTCCTGTCTCATTATGCACACAATTTTCCAATTAACTAGCTTCCAAATTTGGCAAACTATAATTTTAAACTAAGGTTTTGTTTGTTTTAAATTAGGATGCTTTTGAAATTATGTCAATGTCAAACACATTATTATACAATTATTTTCAAAAAGATCCAAATTCATTATTTTACTAGTAAGTGAAAAATCAACTATTTAAAACCTTTCTTCTACCAGATTTTTCTTTTTTAAGGTTGACTTTAAGGTAGCTTACCACAAGAAAACAACATGTTTTAAAAAGAAAATGTTATTCTAGTCTTTCTTCAAAAAACACAAAAAAATTCAATCTACAAGTATCAATAACTTGTACCCCTCAGATATATTAAAAAAAAACTTACCCCATACACCTGCAGCTAAAGACTTATTCTGATTTGGCTCTCTCTCATATTCAGGATTTAACGATGGCTAGAAGAAAGAGGAGGAAAAAACTTAAATAATTAAATACCTCAAACTTATTAGAATTACACATCCTGTAACTGAAGAATCACTTATAACCAACTCTTAACTATTAAAAACTAACGACTGAGCACAGCTGTTGTGGCATAACAAACTATGCTGATGCCTCTGCACTGGCATCTCACAGAGGTACCAGTTTGAGACCTGGCTACTCCACTTCCCATCCATCTCCCTACTAACAGTCAAGAGAAGTAGCAGAAGATCCAGGTTTTTAGACCCCTGCTGCCCGTAAGGGAGAGGCGGATGAAGCTCCAGACTTTAGCATGACCCAGCCCTGGCCGTTGCAATCATTTTAAAAGTAAACCAACACATATAAAATCTCCCTCTGTAATTCTGTCTTTCAAATTCATAAAAAAACATCTTTGAAAAAAAAACACTCATAAAACCTCTACTGTCAAGCTTTATTCAGTTTCTCATGAAAACACCTATTATCTGGTTGAATGCTCTGGCAAAGAGTAAAGCTCTGGCTTGCAAAATGAGCATCCCATATAGGATTGCCACCTTCTCTACTTCATATCCAAATTCCTGCTGATGTGCCTTGGGAAGGCAATGGAGGATGGATATATGTCATGCTACCTAGATGGCAAATCTGGATGGAGTTCCTGGATCTTGTCTGCTGCCTGGTCTAGATCTGACTGCTTGTGGCATTTGGGGAAAGAACTCACTCTGACTTTCAAATGAATAAATGCAGGAAAAAAATTAATCCTTTCTATCTAGACTAACCACCAGCTAGAGGAAACAATACACACACACACCCCAAATGTTTGTTTGTTTGTTTTCTTTTTAAAGATCTATTTATTTTTTTGGCCTGTAGTGGTTAAAGTCCTTGCCTAGAACGCACCAGGATCCCATATGGGCGCCGATTCTCCCACATTGGAGACCTGGAGAAGCTCCTGGCTTCTGGCTTTGGATTGGCTCAGCTCCAGCCCTTGCGGCCACCTGGGGAAGATCTTCCTGTCTCTTAGATTTATGTATTAATAAATAAATCTAGGTTTATTTATTTTTATTGGAAACGCAGATATACAGAGAGGAGAGACAGGAAGAGATTCCATCCACTGGTTCATTCCCCCAAGTGGCTGCAGTAGCCAGAGCTGAGTTGATCCAAAGCCAGGAACCAGGAGCTTCTTCCAGGTCTCCCATGTGGGTGGCAGGATCCAAAGCCTTGGGATATCCTCTACTGCTTTCCCAAACAAGCAGGGGGCTGAAAGTGAAGAGGAGCAGCTGGGACACAAATGGGCGCCAATATGGGATCCAAGCACATGCACAAGGCAAGGACTTTTGCTACCAGGCTACCATTCCAGCACCCCCGCATCCCTATCTCTCATTCATGACTATCTGAGGGAAAAAGAGCAAACAGAAAGTACATCAGTTTCCACCAATCTGATATAAACTTCCCTTGGATAAGCTTAAGATTACACAGGGAAGAAAATTAAGTGATTTCCGCACTTTATTACGTATAGATTAATATTAACATATATTCTCAAAGCAAACAGCAAATTTCAATTTCAACAACTGATGTTCAAGGTTATTAAAAAGATCACTGAGTGGCTAACCTACCACTAATAATCACTAATTTTAGAGCCTGGCACAGTAGCTCAACTGGCTAGTCCTCTGCCTGAAAGTGCCAAAATCCCACATGGGCAACAGCTGCCGCGCTTCCAATGCATTCCTCCTCCCTGCTTTTGCTATGGCATGGAAAAGCAGCATACACTGCCCAAAGCCGAGCAGCCCTGCACTTGCATGGGAGATGGCGAAGAAGCAATTCTGTAAATCTGTCTTTCCAATAAAGTATCTCAGAAAAACTTAATGGGCCCTGGCACAATAGCCTAGTGGCTAAAGTTCTCACCTTACACAGCCGTAATCCTGGCAGCCCTGTTTCCCATCCCAGCTCCCTGCCTGGGAAAGCAATCAAGGAAGACCCAAAGTCTTGGGACTCTGCACCCACGTGGAAGGCCTAGAAACTCCTGGCACCTGGCTCCAGATCGGCTCAGCTCTGGCCAACGTAGTCATTTGGGGAGTAAGCTAGCAGATGGAAAATCTTTGTCTCTATCTCTCCTCCTCTCTGTATATCTGCCTTTCCAATAAAAATAAACATTGCCCAGGGCAACAGCGTAATGGTTAAGGTCCTTGCCATGAACATGCCAAGATGCCATATGGGCACTGGTTCTAACCCCAGCAGCTCCACTTCCCATCCAGCTCCCTGCTTGTGCCCTGGGAAAGCAGTTGAGGATGGCCCAAAGCCTTGGGACCCTGCACCCGTGTGGGAAACCCGGAAGAAGCTCCTGGCTCCTGGCTTCGGATTGGCGCAGTATCGGCCATTGCAGCCACTTGGGGAGTGAATCATCGGACGGAAGATCTTCCTGTCTGTCTCTCCTCCTCTCTGTACATCTGCCTTTCCAACAAAATAAATAAATCTTTTTTTAAAAATGTACAAATTAAAAGCTAGCTACGCAAATGCATGCTAAGTGTGATCCCTATATAAAAATGAGATATACTAGTAGGACACAGTAACTGAGTTCTCTGGTGCAAAAATAGCAGACAGAAACTCTCAAAATTACAAAATACTTACAAAATCTTCAGCCTCAAATTGTTTGCGTTCTCGCTTGTCTTCTTTCCTCCCATTTTCATTGTCAGGTAAATTGTTTTCATGCAATCCTTGGCTTTTTCCAGAATGGAAAATACTGCTACGAGACCGAGAACTCCCACCATGGTATCCTCCTCGATGATTTATGTTTTCTGAACCATTTCTTCCATGTGTACGCCACCCATTTTTCTCTTTCCTTCCAAAGTTACCTTAATGTAATAATGGTGAAATAACATAAATTCGAAGATAGTTAATGTCTAGACCAAACATACAAAACATTCTTCAATGGCCATGAAGAAAAACTATCACTTCTCGGTATTTTACCTGCAGTAGGACGTCCAATACCAGAATCAAAGCTGTCTGAAGAATTGTGTCGTCGACGGCTGACATCATATCGATTCTCTGTCCATGAAAAGTTTTCAGAATGCTTTTCAAAATTCAATGACGACTGAAACAAATTGTAAGAATAATCTTATAAAACTGGTAACAAATCAAATTAACATACTTTCAATAATTTTATGTACTTACAAAAATTGCTGTCATTGTTTGCAAGGTATATGACGATTGGTAACTAAATACAACATATTTCCTCCAATACTGTTCTATTTCCACTTACTAATAAACAAGAATGCATTTTTGAAAGAGCTCAACAACTATTTGCTAAAAAGTTACTTTGTCCAAAAAATTTCAAGATGTAAACATGAACCATGGCTAGTGCTGGTGGCATAGTATGCTAAGTCTCAGCCAGCAATTCTGGAATCTCATATGCACACCAGTCCGATTCCCATATTCTCCACTTCCAATTCAGCTCCTTGTTAATTGTTGCTGATGGACTAGGAAAATAGAGGATGGTCCAAGCACTTACGCATGTAGAAATGCAGAAAAAGCTCCTGGTTGCTCCCTTTGCCCTGGCCTAGAGCTGGCTCTTACAGCCATCTGAGGAGTGAACCAACAAAAGGGATCTTTCTTCCTCCTTCCACTCTCACTTCACATGCATGCGTGTCTGTATACACATGCATGTGAATGTGAGTACCTCTGCCTTTCAGCTGTGTGTGTGTACTGTTCTGCCTTGCAAATAAATGTATCTTTTCTTAAAAAAGAAAATAAAACACACTGGAAACAAGTGACAATATGACACATAACTATCTTCCTGGATTTCCAGTAACCTAAGAACCCAATATTTACAAATGCCATCTGACATAAAAAAAAAAATCCTGTGAGGCTGGGTCTTTAAAATTACTGTGTCAACGCCAATTCCGCAGTAGCTGAATCCTTGCTTTTTGTTGGCACCAGGATCCATTTGGGTGTCAGGTTCACATCCCAGCTGCTCCACTCCCCATTTCAGCTCCCTGCTTGTGGCCTGGGAAAACAGTGGGATCCTAAGCCCAAAGCCTTGGGATCCTGCACCCGTGTGGGAGACCCAAAGCTCCTGGCTTCTTCAGACCATTTTAGTTCTGGCTGCTGTGGCCACTGGGTGATTGAATCAGTGGCAGACGGAAGATATTTCTCTCTGTGTCTCCTTGTCTCTGTATAGCTGCCTTTCAACTAACAACAACAATAGTAATAATAACATATTTATTATTATTCTTTTTAAAAGCTATGGTGTCTACTGGGCTGTTGTGGGATGTAGCACATTAAGCCTCTGCCTGCAGGGCAAGTGTCCCATTATGGACACTAGATCAAGTTTTGGCCCCACTTCCCATCCAGCTTCCTGTTGATGTACCTGTGAAGGCAGCAGATGATGGTGGCCCAATCACTTGGACCTCTGCACTCAGACCAATAACATTGCAGGCTTCCCCCTTGTCCAGCTCTGACAATTACAGCCACTTGGGGATAAACCAGTGGGTGAAGATCTTCTCAATACCCCTGCACCCTCCACTCCACCCTGCACATCAGACCCAGCTGCTTTAAGGGCAAAGTTTTGAATGCCAAGGAACTTAATGGGAAAGACCGAAACTTACTATAGTTGTTTTCCACAAGCACCCAAATCAGCATCCCACCTAACTTCATAAGGATAAGATGATGCCAAGCATTGGGGTGGCTGAAATGATCAAGGGATAGAGGGAAATGGCAGTAACAGTCACCCATGAAAGCACGAAAGAGTGAAGCCCCCACCACATTCCCAGCTGAAGGATCACAAGCCACTCATGAAAAGCTTTCAGCTCAGGTTTCCTCACATACCTATGTTACTCTACAGTTTGTGTCACTTTAGAGGAAAATGGTACTATAATGACTCATTTTGGTTGACAGAATTTGGACAAAATTCAGCAAAAGAAAAAAAGTAACCTGGAAAGGTGAGGCATTTATGTCAATTCAATGTACTGTTTTTGATTAGCACTGGTACCACTGATACATGCTTATACTGATTATGTTAAACCTTTTCCTGTTCAGGGAATACACACAATGGTAAATGATTCTTATCCAACAGGATGCTTAGCACATATAGTACAGAATTCTAGGACAATCATGGAACGCAGGCCTGATTTTTCTTTTTAATTAAGGACTTATTTATTTTCATTAGAAAGGCAAATATACAGAGAGAAGGAGACAACAGAGAAAGATCTACCATCTGCTGCTTCACTCCCACAGCAGCGAGAGATGAGCTGAGAGGCCAGGAACCAGGACCCTCTTCCAATAAAAATAAATAAATCTTATTCTAAAACAATGAAAGCTGGGGACCAGCATGGTAACCTCGTGGCTACAGTCTTCGCCTTGCACGCACTGGGATTTCATATGGATGCCAGTTCTAAACCCAGCACATTTCCACTTCCCATCCAGCGTCCTG